CTGCCCGGGGAGGCTGCGGGCTCGAGGAGACGGTGCTGGGGGAACTTTCTGCCCTAATAGATCTTCGGCTCGTGCGGGTACAGCCCAGGCAGCTCTTTGGTGGTTAAGAGGAAGGGGAGGATGGGAGTGGGACTGGATAACGCGTCTGGGGGCGAAGCTGGCCGTACTGCAGGGTAAAGGGTCGTTTTTAGGCTCAGCTCTTCTCTCCGTCCCTTGTGGGCTCTCAGTGGATGCTGGGAACGAAGATCTGGCAAGAGTGCTGGAGAACGGGAGCTCCCGGCGTGCTGGAGACGCTGGGAGCGAGTTCGGGAGGGCAGGATGGCTCCATCTGCCCAGCGCCTGGCTGAGAGAGCGGGGTACGGTTTTGTGCTGCCTTAAAACCCGGACTGAGACCGAAGGGGAAGAACAGGACCCCGAAAATGAGGATTTGGGGGGCTTGGAAGCAGGACTGGGGCCTGGTGTCACGCACGGGCGGTCGATCCGTACCTGGAGCCTCTCACCCTCTCATTTCCCTGCTGGAAGACGCTGGCGGTTGTTACATCGATGCTGGTGCAGCGATTTCTGTGCAAGAAACCATTTTAAGCGTCGTTTGGTGAGCAATCCCTCAGCTCTGAGCGCTGGCAGGCGAGCGTTGGCTAATTAGAGATGGCAAACGAGTAGCCTGCGAAACCCCCGCCTCTGTCATTTTTATCTTCGTTAAGGCTGCTGCGACGCTTCACCGGTTAATTATCACACTCCCCGGCCAGCAGCCTGGTGAGAGATTATCTGCGTGAGGTCCAGCAGTCCCAAAGTTTATTATTTCTTCTTAACGAAGATAAGAGCGCATGTTTTCAAAAGCAATTAGTGGGTTTTGCATTGCTGTCTCTGTAGTATCTTTTAAGGCTTTTCTTTCTCCTGGCTTATAAACCCTGCGGAGGGGGTGTCCCAAGTCCCTGGGGGTGCCTGAGCCTCCCCCGGTGCTCTGCCCAGAAATATTTTTGCAGATAAAGGTGCTGTTTTTGCAGATAAAGTTGCTGGTTTTGCAGGTAAAGGCGCCATCGGCCCCTGCTCTCACCGGCAGTGCCGCAGGGGGGCAGCAATTCCTTCCGCAAGGGGGGGAAAAAAAAAAAAAAAAAAGCTGAATTTTGCAAACTGCATCATAACCCGCCTTCCTAAAAATAGCCCGGCTTCCCCGGCGCCACTGGGAGGTGTCGCAGCCCGTTGCGACGCCCGACTTCCTCGGGAGGTGGCGAAGCCTCGATGAATAAATGCTCTCTGGCCGCTCACAGCTCCAGCAGAGCCGCAAAACCTCCCCGAGCTGGAGGAGTTGGGAAATTCGTTAAGATGTCGGCGAGGCCGGCCGGGTTCTGGCGCCGGAGGGATCCCAGCGGCTGTGGCCGGGTTCGGGCGCCGGGGGGTTCCCGGCGGCTGTGGGATCGCCGTGCCGCGCTCCGCCACGTCCCTTGCTTGTGGCCTGGCTGGAAGTGGGGTGGCTTCTCCCTCTACTGCCTCCTCCCCCAAAATAAACAGCCCCCGGGGAGGTTTGTGGGTACGCCTGACCCCCGAAATGTGAAGCGTGAGCGTGCTTCAAGCGATGGGAGCCTCGAGTCTCGGCTGTGCTGAGTTTGCGGCTGTTACCCCTTTGGAAATAGAAAATAAATCGGGATGGGATGGCCGGCGCCTGCGCCGCGGTCACTCGTGTCACCCCTCGATCGCACCCGTCGGCCGCCCCTCCTTCCCCACCCTGCCCAAGCCAGGCCGTTCCCGGGCGTCGCTCACTCCCCTCTCCTCTCTTTCTCTCCCCAACAGCTAAGAAGAAGGCCAAGACGGGCAAGACCCTCACTCTGACGGATTTTCTGGCAGCGGACGGCG